AGTGGGAGAGTCCCAGCATAAACCAGTTCCTCCATTTTCTGTGAGAAGCTTAGAAGTGGAGATGCTGGAGAGAGGGATAATGTGTCTGGTGAGATGGGCTGTATCTCTGGTGTTTCTGGTGGCTGAAATATGTTGTCCTGTCACAGTTCTGTAGGATTTCGGTACAGCATATATATATATATATTTTTTTTTTTTTTTTTTTTTTTAACAGTGAACGTATTTACAAAATGAGGCCTATTTTTTCGTCATGTCTGACTGGAAATAAATAAGGGGCTACTTTTTCCAGTATTTTATTTAATAAATGGGACGATCAAAGAACTGCATTAAAATAATATGGACTGAACGTATTTTTGTAACTGAAATGTTAAATGTTATACAATGTTGTTTTGAAATCTGAAATTATCACATAATTTGGCAACAAACTAACGAAGGCTGCAAATGCTTTTACCATTCCGTTCCTATATTTTATGATTTCCACATATTTTCCCCTCAAAACTAGCTAAAAGAATCTTTTACGCAACTCACTATAGGCTACGTGAAATGTGATCTGCATCAGACACTATAGACGCTTCACAGTCAGCTGTTTATCAGCAGTCCTCTATTTAAATGCTGAAATACTGATTTACAGCCAGACCTCCATAAATTCACAATGCATTATGATTACACTATCACCAGCTTCATACTGATACGAGCTCCAGAAACGTCAGGCTATAGTGACTCACGGAAGGCAGGTAGTTTGGATTTATCCTGGTCGAGGATGACCTCGTCTCCCTCGGGGATATTCTCTGGAATATCTAATCCTCTTTTTCCTTTCTCCAGCAGAGAACTGACATCACTTCTTCTGCTCTCGCTGCGAAAAGCAGAGTCCAGGCTCTCCGTCCCTGGAGACCGAGGTCCGGTTCCTCTCTGAGGAATCCAGCATCTCTGATCTCTGCCGCCGTCTGTGGAATAACCCCGGAGAGAGATGAGCTCTGGATCTCCGAGTCTTGATGAAGGGTGTTGAATAGCCGGGAGCCGTACTGAAGCCACCGTGGACATTCTGACTGAAATGTTAAGATTTGAAACTCTCCTGCAAACCCTTTCCAAAGTGCGTTCCGCGCTACGAAGAAACTAATTGTTATAAATTAGCCTACGCATCGAGCTCAGTTGCTTTATAATGGCTCAAAAGCCAAACGTTCCGTATAGTACAACGTTGAAGAACTTTTATTAGAGGAGATACTGTCTGCTGTTTTACAGAAGCGCAGCCAAGTTGCTCTTAGCAACAGCAAGATCTCGCGCCTAAAGTCGCAGATTGCACGAGCAGATCTTAATTAAATGCGCGTGATGTTAGTAGTAGCTACACGAGACCAAGAGTGCGCGTTCAATTTTTTTTTCTTTTATCTAAATAAAGACATGCTACGTTTTAATGTAAATGCTCAGAATCCTAACTCAATCCGTAAAAGAAAACGTTTAGCATTTTTAATTCAAGTTTCTTTTATTACATTAATAACACATTGTCCAAGTAAGACTCCAAAGTGAGATTTATCTGATTTGTCTCCGACCCACCCTCACACACTCAGTTGCGATTTAACCAAATAAAATGCTAACTTCAGTCCTCAGAATCACAAATAACAGCTCTTGGCTCTCTCTATTTGACATTTCTCAGCATAATATTCCAGCTTCAAGGAAGAGAGGAAGAGAATTACATAGTTTTGTTCTTGTGAGTGAGGAAATGTGAGCTGATGTGTTATTACAGCCTGGCACCCAATCAAACCTTCATTGTGTTTGTAGAACTGTCTCCTGCTTTGTTTTTAGTAACATTCAAAAGACCTCCAGGAGAATACGGCTGTACTGTAGCCAGGCAACGGACCTCTAACAGACTGAGGGGGAGAAAAGATGGGGTGATGGTTTCAAATATCTAAAACGCGCTGGGCTTTGTGCAGTGAACGCACATTTTAACACTCTACGTTACAATGTCCATGTTACACATAAATATAAGTAATTAAATAAATAGCAGTATTACTCACAAACTATAAAGTTTCCAAAAAAATCAATCTATATTACTCAGAACGAACGTGTAATTAAACTGTATGTGTGACCAGACATAGAATTTCCATGCAAACTTTGAGGTTATATATTTGTTGGGTACCAGGCAGTAATTTCAACACGTTAATAAACAAGCATCTAAGCAGTATGACTACGTAATAACAAAAAAAATAAACTAAGCTTCTTTGTCATATGTAATAAATCAATGTATATTGATTTAAATAGCTGCAAAAAAAAAGGACAGTCTGTCACGTGACACAGGTGGGCGTGGCGCTCGCTTAACCTCAGTGTGAAACTTATGGTCTAATATAAGGTGAGGTCAGAAAAAAAAAGTGGGATATAGTTCTTCAAGTAGTTTTTTTGATCAAATTTTCCTGTAAACATCTGGAAGCAATCAAATGCAGCAGTCGCTAATAATTGCTAATAGGTTTGAATGAAATATAATGTCTAACAACAGTGTTCAGAACTGTAGAACTATCACACTGAACTTATATTAAATGTTTATTTGATAAATTAGCATTTGGAGGGGTTGTGGCACATAAAAAAATATATTGAGAAGAGTTGGAATCTGACAAGAACTACGTTACTTTTGCACTGAAACATCAGAATGAAAATTAAAATGTAAAAATAGATTCATCTATCATCAAAATTAATCTAAACATTAGCAATTCAAGCCGAATAATAGACATAAAATAATAGAATTCAAGCCAAAAATAGACATAAAAAGTATATATATATATATATATATATATATATATAT